TAATAGCATATGAACACAACGTTATTTAATCAAATAAATTCATAAAGAAAACTGTATACATATACGTATCAGTGGTAGACTAAATAATAAACCCCAAATTATAACCGAAATGATAGAAAAATAAATGCATAATTTCCACTTATCTCCTGATCCGTGCTATTCAAGGCTAGCGTTGCCGCCTGTGGCATGTAATCCTATGATACCAAATCTCTGATGTTCTAGAAAAGTAGATGAGGTGTTCGAACCCCAAAATGGCTGTTCTTCGTTAAAGAGGAAGTACATAATCAATACCAGTCAGGAAAACGCTAGTATTAGGCAGTATCTTCACTACCATATAGCTGCACTGTGCCCAGCAACAGTAGCAGGCAACACCGGTACCAAGCAACATCGGTACCAAGCAACACCGGTACCAAGCACCCTAAAATGTACAATCCTAATTACAATCTGATAATCTAAATTGATCCCGCCCCTTTATCTCTTGAAAATTAATGTGAATTAATTGAACCTCCCAGAGGGTTGAAATTATTGCCCAAGTAAAGACTATTCAAGCAAAGCATCAAAAGTGCCCAATAAAAAAAATGAACCAGTAAAACTATACAGTATAACCTGTTCCCCATATTCAACCCCCTTAAAATCTGAAAGAATCTGTTATTAAAATGAATGGGTAGCAATATTTACAATTTATCAAATAAAACAAAAATAATAAAACCAACCTCTGTTCCGGAGGGTGTAACTTCGAATCAAACAGGAAATGAAATCTGCGTAGAACTTCTTAAAGACCAATTCTCCCTTCAATATATAACCCAATTACGATCGGTCTCCAACCATCAAACTGCTACAGGACGACGGATGGGTTGAACTTCAATATTCAATGCTCCTCAAGATGAGATGGGAAAGCCGGCACACAATCACATAAAAAATACCGGTCTAACTTCGCGTTAACCAACTTCAAAACGTACCATCAATGCTTCCCATAAAATAGAGACACTTTTACTAGACTCCCCACGCGGGATGATATACAAAATCACATAAAAAAAGTAAAAAGTCTCTTAGCGAATTTTCAGTTCAACACCTCCATTAACATTCCTTGTTGGAAAGAAAGACGAAGCTGTCACGTGTTACAAATTACGCCGTTCTTCGCCCCCTAGCATAAAACCTCGACTGCGCAGAATCACTTCAAAGAAAATCCCTTTAAACCAATCGCCACTGTCCGATCTCTAGAAATTATTGTTGGTTATACTGTGCGACCAATGACCTCCTTCAACTACTAGAATACGACCATTCGCATTCAGGCTGACAGCTCTGTTAACACTGCTCGACCAATAAGAAAACCCAAAAATATGCCCATGAAAAGCAACCACCGCTTAAACGAGCACTCCTTAGTTCATGAATCACTGGCGTATGAATCGAAGTCAGACATATGACGTCCCTTGTCCTCCGTCAAGCAGAGAGAGAGAGGCATTACCTAAGAATCACTTATCGAACAAAGATAGATATCTCGAAATGCGACAGGCATACTTCATGAAATTAAATGACATCTGACATCAGTTTTAATCTACAAAATAACAAAAACATTGTAAACAACACTTCTACAAGTAAACAGTTTTATTGAGAATCATAGTGAATTTCAGTGTAACCTTGTAAAAATTATGTGAGCCCTAAGGAGGAACATTTACCCCAGTTACGCTAAATTCCTTTTGAATAAAATCAACAAAATACAGAGGTTATTGTAAACAATATCTTAAGAGTGAAAACTACTGCTGAAAACCATAGTGAAATTAAGTGTAACCTTGTAAAAATTATGTGAGCCCTAAGAAGGAACATTTACACCAGTTACGCTAAATCCCATTTGAATAAAGCTGTGTTTTCTCGAAAATCTAATGAGGTTCTACGACAGGAGCATATTCAAGGTAATTTCTAGATTATAAGTTAATTATCTGCTAGTTTTGAGACAGAAATAGGCGATAAGGCATAACGTTCGATTAAAACCGTTACAGCCCATTGCGGAATAGTGGGCAACGAGAAACTGGACACTAGCAAAAAAAGCAACCTCCTCATTAAATGTACTGAATATCTTACCATTTTACGACTTACTTGTTTTTAACTAAAACTGAAATGCGTTTTCACTGGGAAAAGCTTTGGAAAGATTTTACGATCACATCTAAGAATCCATACACTTTCATTCACACTACTTTACCACACAATTTACCTCATCTGGCAACTTTCAAAGTTTCAAGAAGATATGCAGTTCTATTACTAGACTAAAACTTAATCATGGCAAATTTCCAGCACATCTTCATAAAATTGGTCTTTCTCCAACACCTTACTGTACCTGTGATAATGCATCAATAAGTATGTGATTTAAATCACATATTCTTTTCCTGTAGTAACTATTCATTACAAATTAATCAGCTGTACAACATTAAGCTTCGAAAAAAATTCCCAACAAATATTATTTTACTGTTAACCCAGGCAGCACACATTAGTATAACTAACGTATTTTATACGCAATACTCGTTTAATTTTGGTGTTGGTTGATTTCGTATACGTTTACAGTTTACGATTATTATACATACCGTGTTTTAAACGATATGTTATACATTTTTTATATACATCCTATGGTATATAATTGTAAATTTTCCTACGTTTAAATATAGTAAACAATATACGACTATTTTTAGTTTGCGATGAACTATTTATATACAGTGGGCCTAAATATACGTTTAGGTTTATTTAAATTAAATTCGTATAAATTTATATAATATTACAATATGTGTTCTTCGTTTATAATTCCCGTTTAAATTTCGTCTTGGTTGATATTTTAAACGTTTAACATCTACCATTTTTATACCTAACGTTTTTTAACAGATAAATTAAACGCTTTTGTTTGTCGATACTAGTTAATATACCTATATTATTCTACGTTTAAATATAAGTCACCTTAAACGCATATTACCAGTTTACGATGAACTAGTAGACAGAAGTAAATAATATGTATATATTTAGGTTTATTTAAATTAAAAGCTTTTAGATATATTTATTTACATTACATCCATATTATTTTAATTATATTACCTGCAATATTTATAACAGATTCCCTATACACACGGAACTATTTTTAGATGGCGGATGAAGGATGACGTACTAGTGGTACGGTCTTTTCTCATTTCTACTTATGCGTATGTATTATTGTTCAGTGTAGGGAATGGTTTGTGGCAGCAGGTTCGTCCATTTTCATTTGTGTACACGTTTTGTTGCATTGCATGTTGCTTTGGCGTCTGGCTTTTAAGATATTGATTAAAAGCATAGGTAAGTTTCTATTAATGTTTTAATTTAGCTACTCCTTTAATAATTATTACATTTTACAACTACTGTTTTATAGATAGAAACTCCAAAACATAACCTTACTTTTGTTTCTCTTATTTTTATACGTATTTTTTAGGCTAGCTTGTTATTCCAAGCATACTTATTTTTCTTTTTTTTGGTTAGTTGTTTTTTATTTAATAAAATGTCTAAAATAACCCTGTCTCGGCGTCATCTACGTAGAAAAAGAGCACAAAATGTTTAAGATGCTTTAAAGTCAAATCAAATTTTTTTTATTCCCAATTAATAAGGCTTCGAACATTAATCATCTAATTCTATTATTTAAAATAATTTCCAAGAAAATAATACAAATTTAACTTCGAAGCTTTTAGAAAATATTTCTCCTGAAATTCAGTTACATTTTGGTTATAGGAATGGGGGTAAATCAAGCGACTTAACCGACCGAACGATTAGGTGTGCCACGCAAGATTGGCTTAAGATAGCTAAGGCCCGTCTAGGACACAACACATCCAAAGTGTTAAGCTAAGATTTTAATTTTCATATATATTTTTTGTTAGTTAAAGAAAAGTATCGTTTAGTTTGTTATTCAGTATTTTACTGTTTATTTTTTAGTATATATCTTTTAGTATTTTATTGTTTATTTTTTTTAATAAAATATTGTTCTGTACATACAACAAGTGATCAAAAAATGTTTCTAAATATTTAGGCCAATTACAACCAAAATAGGAACACGAGTAATGCCTATTTTTGATGTGTACACACCTGCTATGGATGAAATCCAAACTGTCATTTAAGAAATATTAACATATTCCTATGGCCTCTTTTAGAAATTTTGTTTTGATCACTTTATTTAATTTGTGTTTGAAATATATTTAAAACAAATTGGGTAGACGCATTTTACACATTGATAAAAATCATACAAATATATATAAGATAAATCTAATATAGATAAAGTAGTAATGAGACGTATAAAAAATGAAAAAATATACGTTTATAGGGCGGGCATTTTCACGTATATGTTGGGTAGCATATCAAAGGTATCCATACGTATATTGTAGTACATAAAAAAACGTCTTTTATACCAAAGTGGATTCGTATAAATATACTATAAATCTAATATAGACGTATAGTAAAAACGTTTAATTTTAGGTGGATAAATTTTTATTTTTTAATTAATCGACGTTTATATATGACAAATAATATACGTTTATAAAGCGGACATTTTCACGAATATATTTGGTAGTACATCAACCGTATTCATACGTAAAGTAGTACCTAAAAAAACCATAGTGTGCTGCCTGGAAAGCACACAAAACAAGATCATATTCGATGCTTTGGTTGGATTTCTGAATAATATTCAACTGGAAATTTAAACTTTAAATTTATATTCTAATAAAAGTCTGTGGCAAATGGATTACATCCAATGCCAAACCCCCCCCCCCCCACACACACACACACACACACACACACACACACACACACTTATATATTCACAATAATTTAATATTAATTCAATAGTCATTAATTAGTTAAGATACTGTAATCATAGAAAACATGTTATTTTTTTTCAGAGTTATTTTGCCAGCTTTGCAGATTATTATCTAAAGAGCCAATGAAACACATTTCGCTTTTGATACATAAATAGGTATTTACAATTTATACGTTTTTTTTTTTAGAAAGTACAAAGTAATCGCATGAAAGCCCTGCATTTGCTCAACCCACCAGGTTACGTCGACAAGATTATAACATTGTTCAAAACTTTTCTTCCAAAAAAATTACAAGAAAGAGTAAGTGCTTATAACTATAATAGCCTGTGTTTCTATATCTATGATAATATCCTAATTAAATATATCTACATGTAAAACTTTAAAATAAGAAACGTTATTATAATGAATGTCCAATAGAGATGGACTGTTATTTAATTATTTAATTCTTGGTAAATTAATATTCTTTACAAATATCGAGTAATATAAAAAATATATTCTCTCTAGTAAAATATGGATTGTATTATGTTGCCTTTGATATGCTTATAATACATCTATATAATAGTCGTATTCTTTAAACAAGGTAAAACCAAGGAAGAAAGTAGTTGGTGAAAATTAATGGAGAGTGGCCAAATCTTTATAAATCATTCGACCAATGGGAGGGTTTTTCGAAAGCTATTTACACATGCAAACACCTTATTAGATTTGACAGTTGACATCCAGTGTTGCTATATCTAAGGGGGTCGCGACTACGGTTCGTAGACATGACGGTGGCCTCTTCATCCGTTGCTAAGGAAGACGTGGTGTCACGGAATAAGAAAGTGAGTTGACAGTAAATATTGAGCAGCGGTTCGTACATTAGTTTTTTTAAAAATCTAATTTTATTAATATTTAGTGGTTTTTATATTTTTATTTTTGTACTATACGCCTGAGTTGGAGTTTTTATAAAATCGGTGATTTCATTTTTTGAAAGATAAGCCACAAAACGGCATGGAAAATCGTGTAATGATTTTCATTAAATTTCAAATGAATTACTTGTTATTTGAATTATAAAGAGAAATATTATTGTGTGAATGGTTTATTTTAAACATTTTGGATTAGTGTACGGTCTCCTGGCTAAATTCGGATCATACTTTGATTATATCCCGAAATATTTGAAAATTATGGCAAGCCTGGAGCGAGCCGTAGTTTTGGTGTTGGCAAACAATTTTTACTGTTTACATGCAAGAATCGTTAAGAATAAATCAATAAACTGAAATTAAAGACTATTGGTAAGATTTTAGAGTAATTATTCTGCAAAAATCATTCACCATTTTTAAATTAATTGAAGTCTTGTCCACCCTACATTTAAAAGCAGACGATATGGTTTCTCACAAATATTAAAAACAACCAAGAGCAGGAAAGTCAAAGGGCTTTACTAAAAGAATATACATTTTTGAAAAAAAAAAAATTGTTACGGCAAGTTTTTAGTAAAAAGTACATAGTTACAAATTACTTTAAAGAAGAAAACAAGAGCCTTTTAGAGTTGAGAACAAGTTTGTAAAGCATTCACGAGAAGATATTTAAGTAAAAGGTGCTATGTAAACCGTACATGCTAACAGTAGTTGATGAATTCTCTAGGTTTCCCTTTGGTTTTCCATGTATCAGCACGGCTTCATCTGAAGTAATCAATCATTTGAGAGAATTATTCTTCATCTTTGGTACTCCCTCCTATATCCATTCTGACCATAGTATATCTTTTATTTCTCATGAACTCAAATCATACTTAGATGTTCAAATGATTGCCACTAGTAGATCCAATTCTTAGAATCCTCAAGGCAATGGACAAGTGGAACGGTATAACGGCTTCATCTGGAAAACCATTAACCTTGCACTCCGGTCAAATTGAGCCAATGGGAGACAGTATTACCAGAAGCGCTTCATTCGATTCACTCATTACTATGCACAGCCACCAATGCAACTCCTCATGAGAGAATTTTCAACCACCCCCAACGTTCTTACAGTGAAGTATCTTTCCCTACATGGTTAACATCACCTGGACCTGTTCTACTTCATAAATTTAATAATTGTGAGACTCATCACATAATTCGTGAGTCGAGAAGATCAATGCGATTAAGAAAAGCCCTGACCTTTCTAGATGATTATGTGAGATTTTAAAGGTGAGAAGAATGTAGTGATAAACACTGAATGAACTTACATACTTACTGAGTTAGTTACTTTCAAGTGTACAAAAGTGCGCTGCTAAAATAAATCTGAGATATGGTCTTGGATGATTTATTTAAGTATTCCAAGTATATGTAATATGTCCTCTGTGTCTAATATGTATATAAACAATAGACAAAACTGTTTTTTTCTAAATTGGAACCTATATTTATAGATTATTGTAATAAAACTAGGTTGTTCTTGTTGTTGTTTTATTGTTTTTTTTTTAGGTATATTATACTGTTCATTCATCCTAGAAACTGACAAAATATATTTTTTATTTCTGATATAAATATACATTTTATGTTTCTTCAATGGGTCCTTGTTTTCTTCTATAAAATTATATGCAACTACTTTTTACTAAAAAGTTCCTAAATAAAACCACTTCTTTCAATAATGTAGGTTCTTTTAGTAAAGCCCTTTGAATTTGCTTGTTTTCTGTTGTGTTTAGTGCTTGTAAGAAACCATGTCGTCTGCTTTTAAATGTAGGGTGGACAGAGCTGCAATTAATTTAATAATAGTGAATGATATTTTCAGAATAATACTCGAAAATCTTACCATAAGCCTTTAATTTTAGTTAAGGCTCGGTCCCTTTATTGCTTCTACCGATTTTTGTTTGTAAAAATTAAAAATTGTTTATCACTTTTTGCAGGCAACAGCAACCCTACGGCTAGCTACAGGCTTGCCAACATTTCAAAATATTTCTGGATATAAACAAAGTATGATCCGAATTAAGTACGGAGGTCGTACCCTAATCCAAAGTGTTTAAAATAAACTATTCACACAATAATATTTCTCTTTATAATTTAAATAAAAAGTAATTAATTTGAAATTTGATGGAAATCATTACATGTTTTTTCCTTGCTGTTTTGTAGCTTCTTTTTTAAAAAATCACATTACCGATTTTATAAAAACTCTAACACCAGAACAAAGTTCAAAAATAAAAATATAAACACAACTAAATAAGAATAAAATATTAGATTTTTTAAAAACTAATGTAAGACACCAAGTAAAATATTTTCTGTTAACTCACTTTCTCATTCCGTGACGTCACTGCGTCCTTAGCAACCGTGATGAGGTCACCGTTGTAGTCCACGAACCGTGGTTCGCGACATAGCGTACATTTTGGACGCCATTTTTTCTGAAATAGTTATGGCCAGGTCTGCCAATACAAGAAAAAAATATCACAGTTTTTTTTAAAGGCATTTTCATTATAAAATGCCCAAATTTTTTAGGATAAAATATTTCAATTTAATCAATTATTGATAATCTCACTGTATATAGAGTACGTCGTAAAAAGTAGATCATTTTCAATTTTGTGCTGTTTTCATTTGGTTTAGATTAGGATGCAGAACAAATTGTGGCTGCCCCTTTTAGGTCTCCAGTCCCCTAAGTCTATTTATTAAGGACTTTTTAAATTGCTGGTAGGTATTATTCGCTTCATTTGTATGTTTATATTTATTTTGAATAATAATTTTGTGTAATATCTTCTGATTTGTTTTTTATAACAGTGGTACTTTCCTATAACTAGCCGAAATTTTGAAACTGATTGCAGTTCCTACATAAACTATTCAGTAAAAAAGAAGCATTTGACTGCATACAGAGTAACAGTAGCAAAGATTAACAAGACTGCAAAAAAGATGGATAAACCTTTGCCTTTGTTAATATTTCAGGGCAATAGTATTAACAGCAGACTACAACAAGAACAACCAAAGTTTAATAATCAAGCAAAATATTTCAGTATCTTCAGAATTATAAACTTATGAAAACTATAATAGGAAACATATATGACTTCGAATAGGAAATTACCCAAATTAGCATACATTATATTTAAAAATATATTTTTAATCAAACCCTATGTGCTTCTACTTCAATATTAACCATATACGGAGTGGCCCAAAAGTCTGGAAACGGCCAATTATCTCGTAAAGTAATAGTTCTAATTGTACAAAATTTGGAGTACACTTATTTTGGGATACGGAGATTCCAGATTTGATATTTGCAATGTTGCCAGATTTATCATTTTTCTTATATTATTAGTCACTTTGGTTTTTCAAATTAATCACCCTGTATATTCAGTCATTATTGGAATCTCCTATTCAATACAAATTTAACCATATGTAACACTTATGATTTTATGAAGTCTGGAAGGTCTCAAATAAATAAAACAGTCATGGAGAAATGTGTACGCATTCTACCATCGATTAGGGTACTAGCAACTCAAAAATGGAGCACATTTTGAACACTTGATAAAGTAACCATTATGTTAAAAATGTTGTAATCTTTCAATTGTTACGTCTAATGTAGTTGAAAATAGTTTGTATTAAAAAATTCATTGAGATAATTAGGCGTTGCCAGACTTCTGTTTTATTTATTTAAGACCTTCCAGACTACATAAAATCATAAGTGTTACATATGGTTGAACTCGTATTGAATAGGAGATTTCAATAATGACTGAATATACAGGGTGATTAATTTGAAAAACCAAAGTGACTAATAATATAAGAAAAATGACAAATCTGGCAACATTGCAAATATCAAATCTGGAATCTCCGTATCCCAAAATAGGTGTACTTCAAATTTTGTACAATTAGGACTAGCAATTTACGAGATAATTGGCCGTTTCCAGACTTTTGGGCCACTCTGTAGAAATGCATATGCATTAAACACCTGTTTTTTATTTAAACAAAACATGTTAAATATTTGTTTTTATTAAATAGATACATAAATTAGTCTCAACAACACATTTTTTTTTACTTCTAGTTTTTGAAGTGGAATAAATTTAATTAATGGACTCGTTCAAAGCCTGTAAACTACAAGTTGATGACCTTAAAATGTAATTCTATCGATTTCATAATCTTTTTTTCAAAAAAATAATTGTTATTCCGTGATTTGTGGAATTAACCCAACTTATTTGAAATGCAATTTTTTAAATAATTTTAAAGCACTAGCACATGTCCCAGAAGCCAAGTGATTTGCTACTACATGGTTGCCTTATTGTAATATGCCCATTATAATATTTGTGCTGATAAGGCCATAAAGAAGCTAAAAATGCCTTTAAGGCTCTAAGGCAGACTATACATCACGGGTTGCGATTTATACTATTTTTTGTTTGGACATAATCCGTAAAGAGGCCGATTGGAATCCTAATTTAAATATTTAACATTCATATTATCCTGAAAAATTTATTTCTGCTGTTTTTGATATTTTTTTTAATACTGCAAAGGCACTGTCAAGTAATTAAATTTCATAGGTAATAAATTATTATTATTATTATTATTATTATTATTATTATTATTATTATTATTATTATTATTATTATTACACAAATATTGACAATTTTTATAATAAAACAGCTTTTAAAAATATTTTTTTAATTATTTATTTATCTTAAAGAACAAATAGTAAACTGTCGAATATATCACTTTCACTTACGTGTATAATAAAAATGCAGATGTATAATTTTCATCATTTCTTCTGTCCTTTTCACTTCAATTTTTAATAGTTTTCAGCTTTGAGCATAACAGAATCTACAAAAAAAATATATTGTAATGTTCAATTAAATCTATAAGTTGAAGTTAATGAAAATTTACTCAAAATTATGTATAATTAAGAAAGAATTAAAGTTATGAATATTAAACTACAAAGTAACAAGAACAACGGTATTTGAAAAAAATCACATTCTTAAAAAAAAAATAATTGTTTTATTATGCTTACAATCAAAAAAATCAAAACTGCGTTTTTAAATCAAATGTTCAAATTAACCTCGATTGACTTCCATACAATAATAAATTCTCTCGAACTAATAAATAAAAAAAAAAATCAAAACATTTTTTTATCTTGCCTTAATTTTTTGTTCTTAGAAGGTGTTTATCACGTTTCTTCGATCATTTCATGTATGATAAAACAATTAATTTTTTTAAGAATGTGATTTTTTTCATACACCGTTGTAAAGAGGCTTTCAAGACCTTACAAATGAAGTATCACTCAACCCATCTTCCCTATTCAATTTTGAGGGGTTGAAGCGCTCCCTCATAGGGGGTGGCTCGTGTCCCCCAAAGAAAATCATCCGACGTGTTTCGGGAAATTTTTCCAATTACTATGGAATAAGAAATATACGGGGTGGCTCGTCTGAGATGGAACACCTTGTATAAAACATTTACGTGTAACCATTATTCATTAATTTAATGTTTTTCCGATTAAAGTAGTAAAAGTAACACATTTAAAACAAATTGATTAAAGAAATACATATAATGTGTAGATAATTAGTTAAACATCACAATTAGTATCAATAAATAACAACTTGCTGCTATACACGCAACGTACCAATAAATAACAAAAAATTAACTAATTAAATGATTTTCAGATATAAACGTATATTTTTCTTATAATTGATATAGTTGATTAATTTATTTACTTCATATTAAAATAATTGATTTGGTGGTTCAGATCTATAAAAACTACAACTAAATTGGTTTTTTATTTTATGTTGCAGATATTTATTCATAAAACTATAGAGGATTTATGTAGATGCGTCCCTAGAGAATTACTACCTTGTGACTATGGTGGTAATGAAAAATCTATGGCAGAAATTGAAGGTAATTTAATTTAACAACTACCTTCCACGTTAATGTGGTATTTTAAAACTACAATAAGTGCCTGCTACTTCTCTTATTATGATGAATTCCTAAATTTAACCTATTAAGAAAGTGTTTTTGAATGCAAAATTTACTTAGAGAAAACCTCTGGAAAACAATTAAGTATTGGTATTCTATCAGCTTTGGAGAAGAAACATGAGTTTTGTTGGAAGTATAGATGGTAAATGTTGCAATACCTTCAAAAATATCGCTAATAAAGATATTAAACCCCAGTGACCGAGGGCAGATTTTGCCTAAAAAAAAATCGTTCCATAGTATTTTATACAATTAACGATAGGGGGCAAATATGATAGAAATTTATTTGACTGCATAAAGTGGCACATTGTGTTTTTTAATGAAGAAGCTTATGGTCGCTGGTGCTCACCTGCGATCCTAGTAACTAAGAAAGACGGATCTACTCGTTTCTGTGTAGAATATAGGAGATTAAATCAGATAACGCAAGAAGACAACTACCCATTTCTCTGAATAGACAACATACTAAACTTTTTATCAGATAGGAAATGGTTTTCCACTGTAGACATAAAGAGTGGATACTGTCAAGTAAAGTACACCCTGACGATCGAGACAAAACAGCTCTTTTAACTGGCATCAGATTATACCGATTTCTGGTTCTCCCGTTTGGTCTCTGTAATGCCCCAGCTACCTTTGAACGACTAATGGAAATGGTTTTGGAAGGATTAACCTGGAAAACTTGTCTAGTATATCTCGATGATGTAATGATCACGTCAAAAACTTTTGATGAACATCTAATTTTAAGTGAAGTCTTTGATAGATTAGGAAATGCCATTCTAAAGTTTAATCACAATAAATGTTCATTATTCGAATCGAAATCCTATTATTTGGGACACATTTTTTCAGTAGAAGGAATCAAAACTGACCCGGAGAATTTTCTTGCACTAAGCTAATGTTAACGGAAAGACTTTGGCCGAATTGCCAAATCCATTTATTAACTAACTGAAAATAGTAGTCTCTTTGACTACGAATTACCAAAATGTCTTTACCGAGGTAAAGAAGCATTTGACCATAGCACACATTCTAGCTTACACTTCACTTCACTCGGGAAAAAGAAAAATATTATAACTTTGAGATAGTACATCAAAGAGGCCGTCTCCATAGCAACGCAGACATTTTTTCCAGGCGACCATGTTGTGACAGGCTTCTGGTTCACCTACAGTGAAGCAGGAAGGCTGTATGGCATGAAGATGGTGAAAACAGAATAGGGGTTTCTCGGGCACCAGTTTTGGTAACACACTTTGCTCTGCGACCCTATAGTACACTAGAGTGTACTTAAGATAAACTCAGTGGAGTTAAACATATTTCCAGGCGGTCACTGCTAATGAGGTAGCCACTAAATTAAAACACTTATCTCCTTTATACCTGGTACCCTACGGTACCCTAAAAGAAAACGGTTAAGAACCGGTAATAAAAGAAACACAGGGTAAAATAACAAAACATATTTACAAAAAAAAATATAACAACTAGTGCGCGGTATCGGCACCCCTGTATACAAAAGACAAGTTTTCAACAAATTAAGAATAAATTAAATTATGAACAATATAGTACAATAATTGCTATGGAAATTCACGCTCCGCTCTTTATACAAAAAATAAATATTTCTATAAAAAAAATTAATTCCACAATAACGGTCGAATAATTACAGGAAAAGAGTTATTCCGGAAATTGAGTTCCCCCCTGTATACAGAAAATAAATTATCAGTAAATAAAATTAATTAAATACAACATCTGAAAGATACAGAAAAATAATTATGGTTACTCCTGTATACGGAAAATAAAAGTATTAATAAATAAAATTAATAATCAAGAAAAACGGCCGACAATATTTATTCCGGAAATTTACGAATCTTCCTGCATACAGAAAAAAAAATTCCCAATAAGTAAAAATTAAATTAAATATTTTGGTCAAACGGAAAACAATTAAAACGGAGTAATTATTTTCAATATTACGGTTAATCGATAAAGAAGCTCCAAAATAAATAAAAAAGCTACGACGCTCCCTGCATTCGAAAACTAAATTTTCCAATGACTACAATCAAATTAAAAATTCTGGTCAAATGATAAACGAAAAATAATCAAAACAAAGTAATTATGTTAAATTTTGCGGTGGACCAATAACGAAGCTTCAGAATAAATAAAAACGAGTAGTTACGACGCTCCCTGTATTCGGAAAATGAATTTTTCAGTAACTAAAATTTAATTAAATATTCTGGTCAAATAACAAACCGAAAATAATTAAAACTGAGTAATTATTTTAAATATTGCGGTGGACCAATAAGAAAGCTCCAAAATAAACAATAACGGGTAGCTACGACGCTCCCTGTATTCGAAAAATGAATTTTCCAATAAATAAATAGTTCATAAATAATGGTTGAACATTACAGGAAAATAAGGGTGAATTACATCAAAAAGTTACTATTAATTCGAACGAATATTTCGGCACCCCCCGTATTCGGATTCCGGCCGGCATTGGATTATCGCCGATCGGTCAAAGGAAAGGGCTGTTGAACTGAAAAATGTGCCACGGCTTCTAGGCCAAATTGTACGATGAAAGCACTAAAATTCGGAGAACAAATCCTTTGAATATTTGCGATAGCCGATCGAAGCGGTGTTCTCGAATCAGGAAAAAAACATTCGGAGCTTGCTTAAGAGTTAGTTGGTGACGGGAAATGAAGTGATTTCGGAGAAAGCAAGAATAAAAAAAAAATAAATAACACTATGGCAAAAATAAATGAATAATTAATGATAAGAAAAACGTGGAGTGAGGAATGACCGGACTGGTAATTAATTAAATTTCTTTTAAGGAGATAGGATAGCGTCGTAGAAATTGCGACACGCATAAATCAAGAACTAATCATATCTCCGAAAAAGAAAATAAATTTAGCAGCTTCCCCAATGATAAAAAATGACAAAATCGGGTTAAACCTCTCACTCCAGCGTCTCTTAAGGAGGTCCTTTCGCCACCAATGTTAAATAAAAAATATTAGATTATGACTAAAATTAATTTTTTTCTAATAGTTGAATTCCTTATTTATCTAATAGTGAACTTTTAACTATACCTTACCCTGCAAATTTTTGAGATTTTTTTTTTAAAAATGTGAGTATTTGTACAGTGTCTTACGAGAAAGTAAGACTTTAACAACAATTTTCGAATAATAATTAAGTATACTAATATTTATTGATTAGATGGAGTAGAAAAAAACTAAAAATAAGGTTTTTGAAATATTTAGGTTTTGTTTTTTACAATAAAATATATAGGTCACCGTGGAATTTATTGAGAAATTAATATTAAAAAATCACAAAAAATGTTCAACTAGGTTACTTGAAATTTCTCAATAAATTCAATGGTAAACTATATATTTTATTGTAAAAAACAAAACCTAAATATTTCAAGAACCTTATTCTTAGTTTTTTTCTACTCCATCTAATCAATAAATAATAGTATAATTCGAAAATTGTTGTTAAAGTCTTACTTTCTCGTAAGACACTGTACAAATACTCACATAAAAAAAAAATTCTCAAAAATTTGCACGTTAAGGTATAGTTAAAAGTTCACTATTAGATAAATAAGGACTTCAACTATTAGAAATAAAATAAATTTTAGTCATAATCTAATATTTTTTATTTAACATTGGTGGCGAAAGGGGTGGCGAAAGGACCTCCTCAAAGGAGATTGGTTAGAATTGTGAGATTGCGATACGCATACATCAAGCCTCAATTCAGCCTCGAGTAAAAATTGCCAACGGTTTCCCACTAAGGGGTGAGATGAAAACAGTCTTACTATGAGTCACAATACTCCGGCTATTAAACGGGAGTTCCAAACTAAGTCTATAGCGAAAATGATATAAAATTTCCTACCTTGAATAACGGGAATGACTCAGCACTCGATGTGTCGGGAAACTAACAAAACTCTCACTAGATTGGCAAAGACTAGAGGCGAAGAACAAAGACTAGTGGTATGGAATCAAGAGAATAAAATTTTACTTGCTCGTCTTATTTATGCCTTCTCAGCAGACAAGTTCCAAGCCCGGCAATTTCGGAGTGGGAGATACCACCACCAAATCCAACTGTTTACTAGTGCCAAAATAAAAAAAAATGTTCTTTTGAAAACTTTGATGAATTCAAGTAGATTATTGACATGAAATTGAATCTACAAATGTGCGTTCGGATTTCGGCAAATACGGAAATATTTTAACCTACGAGGTTACTCGCAATTGTTTTAAACGGTAATTCCTGGGAAACACAAATACGGGGGCTTTTAGAAGCGTTCTCAGGCGGGAATTAAGTAAAATATACATTTTTAAGATTATTTAAAAATAAAATTTAGAGACTTCGTCACAATGCCGGTACTGTAAAAGGCTCGAAGAATGAGAGGAGCCGACTGAAGAAGTTAATCTTTAGCAAACCACTATCATGACGAAGATGAAATCGCACTTAAAAGCCCAAGAAAGATTAAAAAAAGACAATGATTTGAAGGCTGTCCGAGAATGGCTCAAAAATGGAATTATAATTGGATACTGGACTCAGTGAGATTCCATGCATCTTCACGATTGCCTATTGCACCGGAAGTGGGAGAGCCTTAACGGAGTACATGTAATTCACCAAGTGGCACTGTTGAAATTACATGTCAGAAGTATGTTAAAGGAGCTTCAAAATATTAGAAAAGGTCTACGGATTCGCGTGGGAACGTTTGAAGGTCAACACCGTAAAGCAAAAGCTAAAACCGACTTGCTTACCACAGGGACACCTTTTGCGAGAGGCGACCTAGTATGGCTGTACAGTTGATAATCCCAAACGTCGAAAAGGACTTTCTCAGAAACTGCAACGGAATTGGGAAGGTCCCTACACCGTCCTCAAGAAAATCGACGATCTAATCTACCGCATTCAGTTGTCAGCGGTAAGTAAACCCAAGGTATTTCAACTTGATAAGTTAGCGCGGTTCCGTGATTCAAATCCTCCCCGTTGGCTTCACCGAAGTCCCAGCAATCAAGTTATTCAGGACGAATAATTAGATCGGTGGGCGCAATGTTACCCTGCACCCTGCAGTAGCCTGCAGCTGTTATAGGAAACATACGACTAAAACATGTTTAATGTCACCATCACCCGACAATGTGCATCGGTCGTCATAAGTAAAAGTACGCATAAAAGAAGAACCATCTGGAAATATCTATTCGTGTCAAGAAACATCTGGACGGTTTGATAAAGTCATGGGAGTTTATATAAGTTATATGATCCTGCCATCAGAGTTCAGTTTTATGATAGATGTACGTTAATGTTATTAGTTCTGATTTGTAAAACTTAGGTCATTAATAAATTGAGTTTACTAAAAACCAGTGTAACAGATGTATTATTGCGCACTATATGTGGCCGCTACGACCAGCTGGCCGCATATTTCTAGTGCCATAGCCTCCTGCAAGGAAATACAGGAGGCTATGATAGTGCGCGTTAATACACTGTTGATTTTATTAAATTTGATCGTCTGCAACCAGCTGTGATCGTGGTTGTGACCGCTTAAGTCTTCTAATCTGGCTCTTCGATGATCTAGTGTTAATGCGGGTCCTCGAGCAGCAATTATGGTTCTCAAATTTACTTCTCTCCGTCGTTGACGCGCAGTTTGAGTACAAACCAGAAGCTCTAATTTAGCTTTAATTACAATGACTTGCAATAGCTAATATATAACACAGGTTTTTGGAATTAAAATAAAACATAATACTGTTTAACACCCAGTATAATATCAAAACAATAAAATAACTAATTGACCAACACAAATAATGTAGTTACATTCTTAAGAAAAACCTACAATTTAAAAAAAATAATTAAATAGGTTGCAGAGTGTATTTTATTGCCAGTAAAAAACAAAATACTCCAAACATCAGGACATAGTTTGCCCCGCCCCTCCTGTACCCAACTACAAATAGCAAGTAAAAAACATGACGTGCCAATTTTTTCAGTTAGGTGACGGACTATAAACAAAATTGTTCCCTGCCGGGTTCGGATAACACTTTACTAGAAAATTGTGATTAAGCTGTAATTAAGTTTAATGAAATTTGGTTTTCAGATAGTTCCTATCATAAAAACAACAATAATAATAAAACACCGTGAAAATTAGGCTTAATACTATAGAGTGGTTCACAAAAAATTATCTAAAGAAGGTCATGACTCAAAAAGACAGAGAAACAAATCATGTCTGTAATAACTACTTACGGTTCTAAATTAAATTCAAAATGAACATTTAAAAAGAAGTCATATGTAATTTTTTCCAGAATTACTGTAGAAACAGTTTTTTGTATGTAAAATCAGATTTGGTAAAATAATTTATATTTGAATTTCAAAAAGCAATTTTAGCATATTAGCATAATACTATTATTCAGTGAACTTTGTTAATCTGTTTTAGATTTATGGAAGAAGAAATTTCACCAATATAAGGATCGGTTTAATAAATTAGAGAACATGAAAGTCGATGAATCACTGCGACCGGAAAAATTAGAAAATGATGAAATTTTGGGATACCATGGAAATTTCAAGAATATCAGAGTTGACTAAAGTCGACCTGTGGTAGTACTGATAATTTGATAAATATATAATAGAAGACAATGGCGGCTGGAAATCATCCTATTTTATTATTCACCAATAAATATATTAGGTCTAGATACCAGTTACCAATAATTATTGTTAAATGTTAATCAAATATATTATAATTGTTATTTTTTTGTTTTAATAGATGTATCGTTATCTAATATTTGGTAGAAAACTTCCTTTACTTCTGTCGAGTTCACTTCAAAGATATGCGATAGAATAGATACGCTATAATAAGCTTAAACATAATTAATTATTTAATATTTAATTACTTAATAGTTAATTACTTACTTCAAGAAAAATCAAAAAGAATATATTTATATTGTATTGTTTAAAATAACCTAGTTCAGTGTTTACAATTGTTTAGAACTCACATACTTCGATTTTCTCTTACTTAGAACTACTTTAGTAACCTTTGAACTCTGCTCTTCTTCTTTTATTCTAGAGACATTTTAGAACTAGGTATGCCTATACCTGACTAAAAGGCCTACTATGGTCAACTATTTTGGCATCACCAAAAAAACTCCTAGGTCAGGAAATGTGTCTTTCTCAGTCACTTTCTTTTTCTTCATTGTTCTTGGTTGAAATTTGGACCATTAGGTTTCTGTAGTTTAGAAATTTATTCGAATTTGTTCAACTTAAATACAAATTAAGTTTGAGCTAACATCTAACAAATTAAGTATATATAATATTAATCTAAGTGAATTTACTCGGTTGTGGATAAATATTACTTATCTTAAAAGAGACCGTTTCTGATCTCCGGTAAGCATTCTTCACTTTCTTTGGTGAGATAAAATCTTTCTATTTTTATACATACATTGCCTTAAGGCCATTAAGTATCGACATTAAGTCTCGACCAGTGTTTCACCAAGCCAAGTAGCTTAGATTAAGAACAAAAACCTTGCTTGGCTTGAAAATCAAGCATTTTTAAAAGAAAAAGCTTGGCTTGGCTTGGTTTTTTTAAGTCTAGGCTTGACTTGCTTACCAAGCTTTTTCAAGCTTCACCAAGCTTTATCAAGTTTTCAAGCTTTTCCCCCACCCTGCCGATCAGGTGTTAAGTCTACTAACCGTTCTCTCGCCGCCCTTTGTTTCAATGTTCAATTCAGTTACTGCTAGCCTTTCGAAGCAAGTACTTACAAATATGAGCGCCATCAATATATCATATCTTGAGAAATTAGAGGAACCCTTTCAAGACAGCGGATCTGAATATGTGGTGTAGGAAGCGGAATGATTGTCTTCTAGCAGTTCTCGCGAAGAACGTATTCGAATTAAGTCCAGAAAAACAATAATTAAAAACATAATGGTCTCTATTTTTTTTTTTAAATATGAAATCGATAAATATCTAGAGACACCTCGGTTTGAACTGTTTGAAGGCTCCGAAGGTATTCCCAATTGGTGGCGATGTCACAAGAATGTTTTCCCAATTTAAGCAAAAGTGGCGAAAGATTTTTTGTCCATTCCTGCAACCTCTGCATCTATAGCAAGATATTTTTCACGAGCCTCGCTTACTGTGACCATATTACAAAATAGATTAAATGACGAATCTAAAAGGTGCTTAATGTGTCCAAATAGTGAGGTAGGATAAGAACTATTTTCTTAGATGTTGGGAGAAACTGTCTTTTGTCTTTAAGAGGGAAAGCCCACTCACGCGACATGTCGCGCGCGACTGATCGCGCGCGGCAATACTTCTGATGTTTTTAAATGACTCAAAGCCCATTAACGCGGTTCTGTCGCGTGGTCGCGTGGTCATTTAAAAACATCAAAAGTATTGCCGCGCGCGATCAGTCGCGCGCGACATGTCGCGTGAGTGGGCTTTCCCTTTTAGATTAAACTCTTTTTTTATTTTATCTTTAAGTTATTTATTATATAAAATATTTTTGTCATTTAAATTAAATTTTTTTGTTTTATTTATTGTTTTTTATTTTTCTGCGTTTAATTCTACAGTTATGCTATTGGAATCTATTGTTTTTTATTCATGTTCATTATACAAGTTACGTAAAAAAAACTTATTTTCTTTACCGAATTAAGGAAGACAAAATAATGTTTTGTTTCTTATTTACTATATCATTACAAGAATGCATATCATGTAAGGAAACAGTTTAGTAGTTAGATAAAATAATGTTTGTCAAATTATGAAAAATGAGTGTTTTGGGTTATATTATTTATTGCAGTTATAATAAAATTATTTAATTTTTATAATTATCATGAATGTACTATTTCTCATTCATGCAAGTAAATACAATTTATCATGTTATGTATATTTCTGGTACTGATAAATATATGTTAGAATATATTTCTGGTACTGATAAATATATGTTAGAAATAAATAAAGATCGATAATGATCAGATTTTATACCTAAATCACCTCTTCTTCTTAGGAGTCTCTTTCTATTCAAATTATTGTAAACAGTTAATGTAAATAATTCCTTCAAAAGCTTGAAAGCTTGAAAGCTTGGCTTGAAAAAGCTTGTTAGTTCAAGTTTTTTTTTAAAAAAGCTTGACTTGGCTTGAAAAAAATGTTAGGCTTGGCTTGGTATTTTTAAAAGCTTGGCTTGATTTCAAGCCAAGCTTTTAAAAAACAAGCCAAGCCTGTGAATCTCTGGTCTCGACAATACCTCAGTTTAGTTATCCAGCATCTAGTATTACCAGACATTATTTAGTGCTGCTCATAGAGCAGATTACTACTTTCACTATAGAGCATATCACTAAGTCTCGTCTAAAGTACCAATCACACGCTGTGTATTGGGTTGGTGGCTGGAACCGACTTCTTCCTTTACCAGCACTTGGACTGCAAGTATAACATAGCTGTTGTAGCTGTAGATGCCACTAGGAACCGATATCACCCTACTCGCCAAGTAAGAGCTTTCCCAATTTTATATTATATATTTTGTCCACGACCACTTAATAATAAATCAATATTCTACCTCCTAACTAAAAGCATATAGTACCCATATATCACGGAGTGAATTATGATAATTCACGCTTTTGTAATTCTGGCACATTTCGGTAGATAACTAAAGATAGGCGATACTTTTCATAACGATATTTTCTAGATCAAAAAATCAAAAAATCGATAAATCAAAAGATCAAAAAATCGATAAATCAAAAGATCTAAAAATCGATAAATCGATAAATCGAAAAATCAAAAATCGAAAAATTGAAAAATCGAAAAATCGAAAAATCGAAAAATCGAAAAATCGAAAAATCGAAAAATCGAAAAATCGAAAAATCGAAAAATCGAAAAATCGAAAAATCGAAAAATCGAAAAATCGAAAAATCGAAAAATCGAAAAATCGAAAAATCGAAAAATCGAAAAATCGAAAAATCGAAAAATCGAAAAATCGAAAAATCGAAAAATCGAAAAATCGAAAAATCGAAAAATCGAAAAATCGAAAAATCGAAAAATCGAAAAATCGAAAAATCGAAAAATCGAAAAATCGAAAAATCGAAAAATCGAAAAATCGAAAAATCGAAAAATCGAAAAATCGAAAAATCGAAAAATCGAAAAATCGAAAAATCGAAAAATCGAAAAATCGAAAAATCGAAAAATCGAAAAATCGAAAAATCGAAAAATCGAAAAATCGAAAAATCGAAAAATCGAAAAATCGAAAAATCGAAAAATCGAAAAATCGAAAAATCGAAAAATCGAAAAATCGAAAAATCGAAAAATCCAAAAATCCCAAAATCCAAAAATCCAAAAATAGAAAAATAGAAAAATCGAAAAATCGAAAAATCGAAAAATCGAAAAATCGAAAAATCGAAAAATCGAAAAATCGAAAAATCGAAAAATCGAAAAATCGAAAAATCGAAAAATCGAAAAATCGAAAAATCGAAAAATCGAAAAATCGAAAAATCGAAAAATCGAAAAATCGAAAAATCGAAAAATCGAAAAATCGAAAAATCGAAAAATCGAAAAATCGAAAAATCGAAAAATCGAAAAATTGAAAAATCGAAAAATCGAAAAATCGAAAAATCGAAAAATCGAAAAATCGAAAAATCGAAAAATCGAAAAATCGAAAAATCGAAAAATCGAAAATCGAATATATGTAAACAAAAAAATAGTTTAATAAACATCACAAAAAAAAACTCCGTTAGGAGAAAAAATTACGTTGTCTTATGATAATTAACTCAGTCCACAATTAAGCATTTTATTTCTTTAATTAAAATAGAAAATAAATCAACATCATTTTGAAGTTCACAAAAATTTTGATACATAAAATACATTGGAGAAAATTTTAAAATATTTGTCCTGGGTGTCTGAAAATAGAAATAAAAAGGGGAGCGACTTCTGATACTAGGAACATTAAACATTAGTTGACGAAGTAGTTCGGGACAGTCAATTTTAAAATTTAATAATTTGTAAAGAATGCAGATAGAATAACATTTCGTGCGAGTACGTAATTCAAGGATATCAAATCTATTCAGCTAGATGGTTTGCGGAATATTGCGAGTAGGGTAGACGCCATCTAGCTTGCACCACAAATATTTGACAAATTTTCGCAGAATTTTTTCTAATGCTTGGCTATATACTTCATATCCAGGACTCCAAACAATGGACGCATATTCTAGCTTACTACGTACAAAAGCGTTAAAAATAGTTTTTAAAGTGTTAGGCTCAGAGAACTGGCGTCCATTTCGAATGACAAAACCCAAATTTTTGTATGCTTCTTTTTGAATAGTATTGACATGTTCAATAAAGTTTAACTTAGCGTCGAAAAGAACACCAAGATCTCTAAAAGAAAGACATTTATTGATGGTAATATTGTTGACAGTGAAATTATACTCAATCGGATTTAGTTTGCGAGTGAAGCTGATAGAATTGCACTTAGATATGTTTAGTGGTAAGTTGTTAGAATTACACCAAAGGTTCAATTTATTTAGGTTCTCCTGCATAATCAAACAGTCATCAATACTAGAGATTGATTTAAACAATTTTAAATCATCGGCATAGAGTAGAGTATTACATG